ATAGAAAGTCCCAGAATTATGGTTTCATTGTAGATGTACTTTTGTTATAGCAGTCCTAATTGTTTAATTTGCTGCTCTGTTCCAGTTTTGAGTTCCTTTCTTTCTGCTGCAGAAGGCGAGTATGTGAGTGAAGCCCTGTTGGTGCCCGACAGGTGCCGTTTTCTTCACCAGGAGCAGATGAACATCTGTGAGAGTTACGTCTACTGGCACAACATTGCCAAAGAGGTAAGGAAAAGTTCTGTTTCAGTCAACCTGTGCGATTAGGGTTAAGTGGAAAGTTTTAAAACTAACAGGGTGTTTTTGTGTGTATGTGTGTGTGAGTGCGTGCATGCATGTGTGTTTAAATGAGCGGATTCAGTGCAGATCTAAAACCTTTAACACTTCTGGGTGCAGTGTTGCAGAGCAGAAAGTCGGCAGAGTTTAATTAATCTTCACTGATATAACTTTCCGTTTTTCATGTTTCATTCACCAAATTTAATTGGTTCTTAGAGTAACTTGCAGAAGCACTTATACACCTAGGACTTCTACGCACTTTGTAATGTTACGAAAAGCTTCTATATAATTCACTTGGATTCTGCAAAGTGGATGGAAAAAGTTTGTCTGCTAAAAACAATTCTTTTAGAAACCTGAACTGTGGTTTGTGTGTGGATTCAGCTCCCCCTGCGTCGCACTAAGGCTTCGAGTCAAGTTGCAAGTTTTTTCGGGGTTTTGTCTATTATCTTTGCACATCTAGCGCCTGAAACCTTTGCCCATTGTTTTTGAAACTAGCTCAGTCTTGATTAGTATGAATAGAGAGCATCAGTAAACATCAACTTTCAAGTCCTGCCCCAGATTTTCGATTTGATTTAGTTCTTTACTTTGACTGGGACATTCTAACACGTTTCTATGCTTTGATCTAAGCCATTCCAAGTAAAGCTCTGAAAGTGGGTTAAGACTGGAAGATGAACCTTTACCTGAATTGCAAGTGTTTTGCAGCCTCAAGCAGGCTTTCTTTCACAATTGTTATTTATCTTGAATAAAAGTATTCACCTCAGTATATAAGGTCTGAACAACTTACCTTTCACTGCTAGAAAAAAAAAGAAAACAATATTGTCTACTTCTGCAGAAAAACATCCACACCTGAGCTATGGATCTCTGTAGCTCCTCCTGAGAGACACTGAGTATTTTTCTGTAATTAGAGATCTCCATGCCTCTACATGTTTCAGTGGCAACCTGTTTTGATATCTATTAGTTTTACTGATTATGTATTCCTGATATCTGGAAAAAAAAAAGAAGATTTTTCTTTGTCAAAATGACCGTTTCAAACACAATGTCATCCTACAAATCTGGAATAAACATTCTGGATGTCTAAAGACTAATTTCAGATCTCCATATTCCTAATATTGCTGATCAGCATTTGTATTATTTTGACTATGAAGAAATGTATTTCAGATAAAATAAATACACATTCAGATGTAATAAATACAGATTCTTGTGTTGCCCTGAGATGGACTGGCGACCAGTCCAGGATATACCCTGCCTCTCGCCCGTAGACAGCTGGTGATATGCACCAGAACCCTTGCAGGAGGGTTGAGGGCTGGGCAGTCTCAGATGTGATTGACAGCAGCACACTGTCACTAACAAGGACTCAAACATGACAAGCAGAACAATCCAAGTGAAGATCGTTTTGCAACAGAGGGGTTCTACCAAGCGGAAGATATCCCTCCCCTGTCTTCACCAGAGACAGTGGAAAGGGGGAGGAGAGAGGAAGGTCGATAACCATAGTTTTGTTAGACTAGTAAATTCACTTTTTTCTTTTGTCCAACTTTAATATCTTTTCTTTGTTTTCTTTTTCTTATTTCTTCTTGTCTTCCCTCAAGAGTTCTGTTTTTATTCAAAAGCTTTACAGTTATGTGGGTGCTAGATGGATACTGGCAGAGATGGCAAAAGTACTCACTTTCCGTACTTGAGTAAAAGTACAGATACTTGTGTTAAAAAATACTCTGGTAAAAGTGGAAATACTGGTTAAACTTCTTTACTCAAGTAAAAGTAACAAAGTACAGGCTTGTAAATTTACTTAAAGTATAAAAGTAAAAGTAGTAGAAACCACTTTTTTCATGCTGTTGCCTACATTTTAAATGGATGTCTGCCAATAGGACTAGATCTCCGTTGTGTTCATTTTCAATCATCTCGTCGTCCATGCTACTATGCTAACGCCACCGCCACCAAGCTGCAATGATTTGAATGAATACCGCCGAATCTGTCGATTCATCTTGTAGTGGTGCGTCAAATGCAACGTAGATTCCCATCCAATTAGATTGAATTTGGTATTGATGACGTGAAAAATAATAATGGTAACTCCATTGAAATGATTCAAAACTAAAGTAACGAGCAGATTTTTTTAAATGTAAGGAGTAGAGAGTACAGATATTTGTGTAAAAATGTAAGGAGTAGAAGTAAAAAGTCACCATAAAAATAAGTAGTAAAGTAAAGTAAAATAAAAATATCAGAAAAATCTACTTGAGTACAGTAACAAAGTATTTGTACTTTGTTACTTCCCATCTCTGGATACTGGACAGATGGTTCAGACTTATTTTTTATCTAATTTTAATGCATTCACATTTTTTTTACAAGCCTTTACAATTTAAGAGAACATAACGTATTTTCCTTTCCTTGTATAGCAAAATAATGTAATTTATTGTTTGTCCCTAAGCAAACCAACACTTCCCAGGGCAGAGCTGCTGTCTCACCCCTGGCTAAGCCAAAAGCAAAGAATCTTACAAAGTAATCCCCTTTTAACCTGAAGAGGGCACCATACAAGTGGATTTAGACACAAAAGCAGAATTTTTTAAGAAATGCAAAGTTAAATTCTCAAAGAGTAAATATAGACAGCATTATAAGACCTCTATTTATACAGTTTATCAACCAAAAAGACTTTTGAGATTATTATTTCTAACAATTGTTAAAAGCTATTTCCTTTTCCTTTACAGTAACCTGCTACATTGCGTTGGTTTGCCATATAAAATCCAAATAACGAACATTGAGGTTGTAATGGTTGTAATGTTAATGAATCTGAAAAAGTTAAGTGCAAAAAAACATGTATCCATGAATATCTGTTAACATCTACAGTTTGAGGAAAAAGATATTTAGTCCGACAATTAATTAGCAAGTTTTTCTTAAAAATATAAGAAAGGTCTGTGATTTTCCTCATAGGTACATTTTTACTATAAGAGAGACAAAAAAGTCCAGAAATCATGCTGTAGGATTTTTGAATTATGGTTAAAAAAAAAAAAGTAGGTATTTGGCAGATAACAAATGTTCAACTCAACACAAACCACTCCGTAAATGATGAAGTGGCTCAGTAAAAAGCATTTCAAGTTCCTGGAATGGCCTAGCCAGTCTGCAGTCCTCAACCCCATAGAAATGTCTGGAGGGAGTTGAAATTGTGTTGCCCAGCGACAGCACCAAAACATCAATGCTTTATAGATCTGTCTGGAGGATTGGGCTACAATACCAGCTATAGAGTGTTAAAACCTGGTGAAGACCTACAGGAGAGGTGTGATCTCTGTCATTGGTAACAAAGGTTATTCTACAAAGTATTGAGTTAAACTTTCTTTATTGACCAAATACTTCTTTTACACTGTTATTTTTAAAATCTTACAATGCATTTTAATGCTTTTTTTCTGATTCTGTCATTCACAGTTTAAGTTTACCTACGAATAAATAACAAACCTCTGTCATCTTGCTAAGCACAATCAGTGGCTGACGAAATACCTTTTTCGTCCCACAGCTTTTATTTTTTAAACCAGGAGTTCTGACACATACTGAACAAATCATGGATAACATCCACATATACTCCCTCCTCTGTATATCCCTGTGCTTTTGTCAGGAATGCACTGCAGAGAATCTTGAGCTGCACAGCTACGGGATGCTGCTGCCATGTGGGGATCACTTCAGAGGTGTAGAGTACGTCTGCTGCCCGGGAAGGAGCCCCTCAAATGGAAAAGGAGAGACAGAGGAAAAGGAGGTCCCTCAAATGCTTGCATCCCAGACTGCTGCAAAACCTGGCTCTGTGTAAGACGACACTGCAGATCTGTTTAAATGTTGCTATTTAAATGGCTTGTCCAAATCAGAATAACAAGAATGAACAATTTCCTGCAAGCAGCAAGTTGATGGCACCTACTCCAAGCCCCACCCCAGAAAAGGAAGTGGACGATGTAGACATGGAGGAGGAGGACGATGAAGTGGTAGATGAAGAAGAGGATGAACAGGAGGAAAACTTTGATGAGGATGAGGCAGAAGAAGAAGAAGAAGAGGAGGAAGAAGAAGAAGAAGAAGAAACAACAGCTGCAAAGGAGCAGGAGGATTATGAATACCCTCTTGATCCTTACCGGACATCTGACTACTCCTTCTACTATGACGACAGTCACAAACCCACAACGTCTACCCCTTTGGTCAAGGGAGACATCTGTGAGTGATTAGTTCATCTTCATTTTGTTTCTAAAACATAGAAGCATGAGTGGTAGCTGTAAAAACGACAATGTAAAAATAGATCTCAGCACCCCTCATATTGAATGCATCATCCCTGCACTTATAGTTCGGAAACATATCACCACACAGTGCATATGTAGGGTGTATGGGTGCAAAGTTTATGTGCACGTGTATATTTGGAACTTGATTTCCTAACAGTTCAGCTTCCCATCATTGTTCTCTAACCCTCTTACCTCAACAAATGTTAGTGTGAAAGTGTTTCACTTTAATCTGGTGCATAACATACATTTACAACCACAGCAAGGCCACAGCTAAGTTCATGCTTGAGTGTGCACAGTAAATACAGAAGTTAACCACGACACATTAAAGATCCAATCAGAACAATTTTAGGATGGTAACTTCATATATTAGATAATAGAGGTGGAGAGCAATGAGTTAAATAGCTGTAGATGATTGACTGATTGGGTTGAAATGAAGATGACAAAAGCTTTAGTTTGCTGAGGTTTGAATTTAAGCTTGGATAGAAAGAAAAGGCCCTAAAACTACATATTTTAAATTTTACATTACAAACCATATTGTATTTTCTTTTACATGATAGAAGAATGATGGTGCTCAGTCTTTAGATTTCTCATTGAATGTGTGTAGACTCTAGATTTATCCAGGTAATGGCGGTTTCCTGTTGTTCCCATCCAGTTACTACAACTCGCCCCACAGATGGGGTTGATGTTTACTTTGAGAAGCCAGTGGATGACACCGAGCACGCCAACTTCCTGCGTGCCAAAACGGACCTGGAGGAGCGCAGAATGAAACGCATCAATGAGGTGAATTTCGCAAGGCGGGGAGCAGGTTGACTGCATGTCAGGTTGCACATTGCTTTGGACAGATAATAGTTTAGTCAATGGTACCACCACTGACTGTACAACTAAAGTAGTCCACTCTACATAAGTGGCAGAGGCTGGTAGAGTAAGAGTAGCACTACTTTAATTTTTTTTATTGAAGTAAAAGTAAAAAATAGTCATCCAAGAAGTTACTCGAGTAAAAGTAAAAAAGTATTTGGTAAAAAGGCTACTTGAGTACTCAGTACATGTTAGATAATGACACCAGATTTAATGTTTATAAATGATGCTGGCAAACAGACTTTATGTGCAAGTTCTGTTTAAAGATTAGATACCTAAAGAATGCAAATAACTGTCACGAATATAAAAGAACAAATTCATTGAGAAGAAATACTTTTACCAATTTTTTTCAACATAAAACTTAAAAAAACAATCCTTACAAGGATAACTGTATATATGTTAGGACAGGGTAACGAACTTCCACTGTTAATATCTACTGTTTACAGTATGTATACCTGATTTTTGAATAGTTAAAACTACTCAGAGAGGACAGAGTAGTCCGAGATTTTACTCAAGTAGAATTAGCAATACTTTACAGAGTATTACTCAAGTAGAAGTAAGAAGTACTGTATGGCACAGTAAACCTACCCCTAAAAGTACTTTTTTTTTAATTGTTACTCAAGTAAATGTAACTAGATAAATGTAACTAATTAATACCCACCTCTGTGGGCGACAGTGGCGTTGGATGTAGGAGTTAGCCCTGAAATCGAAGGATTGACGGTTCAAGCCCCGACTCCGACTTTCAGTGTCGTTGTGTCCTTGGGCAAGACACTTCACCTGCATTGTCTACTGATGGTGGTCAGAGGGCCCGGTGGCGCCAGTGAACGGCAGCCTCGCTTCTGTCAATGAGCCCCAAGGCAGCTGTGGCTACAATGTAGTTCACCACCATCGGTGTGTGAGTGAATGGGTGAATGACTGAATGTAGTGTAAAGTGCTTTGGTCAAGTCTCCTGACTTGAATAAAGGCGCTATATAAGTACATGCCATTCACCATCTGATAACTGGCCTTCTTGAGTAGCTGGAGTTTTCTTTATTTATATATTACTCAATTCTTTTGGCTTTCACACAAAACACACGTAGCCATCAGTGGCACTATGTGTGGTGCAAAACTAAATTTGAGCAAGAACCTAAACATGAACTCCCCCACAGTCAGCATCATGCAGTGGGAATCATTTTCCTCCTGGATTTGGGAAGCTGTTTATAGTTGAATATATATTATAGTTTAATGAACTGGTAATAGTGATTCAGTTCACTCAAAAGATCTGCTATTCCCATCACTATTTTTCAGCTAGAGATATTTTTTTTTTCAATTCTAGAAGAAAATGGGGGTTTGTTTATCTTCCTGCAGGACAGCAGACAATAAATAAATAAATACATAAGAATAATAGAAATAATAAAGCATGTTCAATCTGGAAATGCTTGCTAGACAGTTGGTATTTGTAAAACAATTGAGAAATGTATATTTTTGTCGATTTTAAAATTCTTCACTGATTTGCTTTTATCTCTTAAATCTAGGGCTGGACAACATGGTCTAAATATATGATCATTTTCTCTGATTAATCTTTTTTTTCATTTAAGTTACATAATACAAATGGCATTTCTTGCTTTTGAAAACTAGCATTAATTTGTATCATCCCCTCTGGGAAGTGACCTCATTTAAAGGGCAAATTCAAGCTGTGAAGTGTTCTCTTACAATAATCATGTTTTACAACAAACAATAAAATATAACACACTAAAGGTTTGCAGCCTGTGGTTTCACATAGAGAGCTAGTTTATCATTTATGAGTACATCATCTAAAAACCAAAAGTGATGAACTGACGTCACTCTGAGCTGTAAAAGCCCAAAGAGTGGATTGGTGAAATAAATCCAGATTTTCAATTAATATCATTTTCATAAAAAAAATAAAAGTTGTTCATCCAGCCCTGTTTAAATCAGTCTAAAAATACACTTTAGTATTATTCTTGAGGCAAAATGTGACACATCACATGTGTGACACAGCTGAGTTTTCTTGGATAAAAGTCTAGATGCTTTATGTAAAGTTTATTCAGGTAGCATTTACATTTCCAGTAATGTATATTACTGGGAACTCCAGGCCAGTGTTTGTTAACCTAGAGTGATAAAGTGACCTGTTTTTTTCCATCTGTCAGATAATGAAGGAATGGGCGGAGGCTGACCATCAGTCACAAAACCTGCCAAAGTCAGAGCGACAGGCTTTAAATGAGGTACACAGAAATATTTCTTTTTTTTTTTTCTGAGTTTAGTTTTAAATATTTTCTTTTGCAGAGCTCCCACGTAAATGGCCCATGATTCTCAGCTTCTTCTTTTCTCTTCCAGCATTTCCAGTCTGTGCTGCAGACGTTGGAGGAACAGGTTGCTGGGGAGAGACAGAGGCTAGTGGAGACTCATCTCGCCAGAGTCGAGGCCATTCTCAACAACAACCGTCGCCTAGCTTTGGAGAACTACCTGACGGCTGTACAATCTGATCCCCCCCAGGTAAGTCCATCCTTGTGTGCATACCAGGGCAGAAAACTAAGATTTATGTCATGTAATCCCTGCAGTAATCCAGAGCAGGTTTCATATTTCATGTTTCTTGCAGTAAATGAAAGAGTCTCTTTATGTCGCAGTGCTCTGTTTTCTGACTGCTCATCTTTTTGTAACTTCCAGCCTGAGCGGGTGCTTCAGGCTTTAAAGCGGTACATGGCTGCAGAGCAGAAGGACCGCAGACACACTCTGAGGCACTACCAGCATATTGTGGCTGTCGACCCACAGAAAGCTGAGCAAATGAAATTCCAGGTGGGAGCTTTGAAGATGCAGCAAGGCTTTCTGCTGACAGAGAAACTCAGAGAACAGTCTGTGCTGGTATAATTGCATGCATGCTAGAGGACATAATATTTCTACTCCATTTAACTGAGATCACAGCCGACCTTTGCCAGATTTAAATGCAACCTCTTAAAGAAAACTGGATCTCGTTTCTAAACAAATTGACTGTTCTTTACACTAAAATATTTTTTATGTTTAATCTTACAGGTGTACACACATCTACATGTCATTGAGGAAAGGATGAACCAAAGTCTTGCTCTGCTTTATAAGGATCCAACATTAGCTGAGGAGCTACACAGTGACATCCGTAAGAAACTGTTGTTTTTTTAAGTGCTATTTTATAGTCAGCCTGTTAGGAAAAGATCACAGCTCAATGGAGCTACATACACTCATGATTATAGATGGATATCATTAAGGACTTTTCAATACTACTACTCTTAACCATATTCCTTATAGATTCTGGTATTTTAGCAGTACCAAGTCTGATAAAGAATCAGTGAATAGTAACTGCTGTCACTCTCAGGTTTAGGGGGGAAATGCTTGTTCCATCAAATAACATTAAAGAATTAAAAAATTCCTGCAACCTGATTATGATCTGGATCATCACCAACATTTATTGAATTGCTCCTTGAACTGAGGTGCACCTTTTGTAAAAATTTCATTAAAATCTGTTAATAACTTTTTAAGTTATCTTGTACACACACATACCGGTACAAACACACACAAACTCAACTAAAAACAAACACTTCTTGGGAGGCTAAAGTAAAAACATAAAACACTATATCTTAAATAAAAAGTATTTTGTATAATTGTAGAAAAAGGGAATATCAAAACTGTCAATTCAATGATTAAAAACACTCTTATTACATTTAGAACTGAATAAAAGAACTCAAGTATTTGTTTATATATATATACCGGTACCTCAGGACCCACTACATTGTCAATTTATGCATATTATCAAATTTAACCAAATAACAGCGATTGAGGTGAATAAATGACAAGGAGGATGTCTATTTTAAATGCAACATTTTAGGAGAAAAAAGCTGTGTTACATTAAAGAATATATTTACAATTTATTTACATCCCACTTTCTAATCATCAATAGAATCAGTGGAAGCTTTGCTCATTTTCAATAGTGAAACAGACTGGAGTCAGTCTTCTCCTTTCTCTGACTGCAGGCACAGTTGGCTGCACAGCTAGGCTGATTGCTGGTTACCTGCCAGTGCTTTGGAAGTGGGAGAGGCTCACAGCAGCACTCACTGCGTAATGAAGACAGTAAACTCAGACTGATCCATCTATTCATTTCCTTCCTAAATCTCAAACAACACAGAGAAAGTCTATATTTGTCAGTTGTTTCTTGAGAGAAAAAAGGCCAGAGGGCTCTGAAAAGTCAAGAGTTGGCAGGAGTGTTTTGCCCCTATCATCAATATGTGCTTTTCAAGAAGGAGAAGATCAGCCAAATAGTGCTGTTTGAATGTGATCTTAGTCATATTTTTAGGAGGACCGCTAAGGCTGAAGCTTGTCCGTCTGCTAAGACTGTCTAACTGGGCCACTTTGATACTGACATTTGGTATCATTCCTTTCCCCTGATGCTCATAATTTTCATTTTAACTTTATCTATGAAGTCATCCAAATCATGGTAAAACTCAAATGGTTCAGTTCAGGCAACTGGACGTAAAGTTTTCTAGAAGAACTGAAGAAGTCTCTTGGATGAGAAACGGAACTAATCTAGAAAACATCAAAACTGAACCTTTTGAGCCATTTTAGTTTAGGATCTATCAGGATGTCTCTTTATTTGTGAGTCGGAATGTTTATATATTATATATTTATATTTTAACACTATTTTAAATATTATATTTTGAGTGCTGAAACTGGAAATTCTTGATATTTCTGTCTCATTAAAGAAGGAAAACAATTATACATACAAACTCAAATACACCAATACAGCTCCATCAATGTTTGGTTTGTCTCCTGGCAAGATGAACCATGACACACTTTGGTCAGCGTGTCGCAATTCTGTCACAAATCAGATAATTTGACTTTACAGAAATTGATTGGTTCCTGTCAGACACCCAGATTTTAAGCCTAGTGAACTTTTTTCCTACATAACTTAGGCTCAAGTTTCAACCATCTAGCTCGTAATTTTAGGTAAATTTAAAAAGAACTGTGAAGTCATGCTGCTTCTTTTTTTAATTCGGTCAATTTGCAACACAAAAAAAAAAAACTGCTCCTTGTGATCCTTATCATGCTGCCATTACAGTACTTTGTGCAGAGGTTTTTAAATTTGAAGTTGCAAACTTTCTAAGTGTGAACAAAAGCATGTATCTTACTTTTACTAAGAAAACCACCCTTTTTGCAGCAGATCTGTGGTAATCTGACAGCACAACCACGAAGCAGCCTGCTAAAGTTTCTGTACTGATACCTCTCAACACATTTTCACCCAAACAAACTGACTATAGCTTCTTGTTCAAATGTCACAAAATACGCTGAGCATAACAAGAAAAAAATGATTCAACTACACAGACATCATCTCTACATGCTCAGTAAAAACTAAATCTATCTAATTTTAATACATTTGTTAATAATCCATCCATGTGTTCCTAGAGTGTCATTGCAATCTCTGAATTAAGAGAAGCTCCAGCTTCTTTCCAGTTGCTGTCAGCTTACAGATGCTATAATTACCACATAAAACTTTTAACAACACTTACCTCACTGATGGTAAAAATCGATTTGAGAAGAGGGAAAAAAAAATCTAAGGTGACATTTTGTCTGTTACCAGCAGCAGCTCTTGGTTCTATAGGAATCCTCATCGGGATGACTATAATGAAGAAAACAAACAGAATAAATATCAGAATTAGGGTTCTTTGGTAAAAATTTGTTTAAGTAGGTTTTCATAACTTATTTGAAATATTAAGTTGGGTAACATGTATATTATTATTTTTGCATTTGGTTTATCATGCTTTGCCTGCTCAGTGTTTTAAAGCCTTAAAAATTCCCCACTTGTGTGTAGTGACACTGTTTCTCCAGCAGCTTCTGGATTATTGCAGGTCTCTTATTCTTCCTGCAGCCCTGGATACTAAACATCCTAACCAAGCTCTTTTCAGTTTCAGGAGAGACTGTTGAAACCGCAACAAAGCCATCTGATCCAACAGAAAAGTGATTCCTAACAGATATACACCTAGATCTAAAATGAATGAACAGGCTAACATGATGCTTAGTGACTCATACCTCAAATATGTAAAAGATTACATATAAAAATGTTTCTTCAATTGGAAACACTGGTAAGAGTGTTTGGAGATGTTAGAGGGAATGGTATGTTTTATGTGCAACTTAAAAATTGACATGTATGTATGTATTTTAATGTAATATTTGAATGTAAAAATGTCCCCACATATGAATAAAAAAAAACTTATATTGACAACTCGTGTAAAAAATCATTACTGCTGTTTATTCAAATGCATTATCAAAAAGCCCAAAATGAATGTGATATTTCTGCTGATGATGACTGTATGTTAACTTTTCACCAAAATTTTGTATAAGCATTGATTACCTGTGTGTGTGTTTCTCCATACCTTTAGAGGAGCTTGTCAAGGCAGAGCGAGGCGACATCAGCGAGCTCATGACTACTTCCTTCTCCGAGACCCGGACCACTGAAGTGCTCATACCAGCAGAGAGCGAGGAAGAGAAGGATGACGAAGAGGAGGAGGAGAGGGCCTTCCAGAACCGGCCTTACCCTCCTCGCATCGGTGCTTTACTTACTTATTACATATACTATCACCCACATATCTAAAATACTTCGGTTTTTCCCTCATTTTCTAAGAAAGTGTCAGGTAATTATCTGCTTCTCACCCATTACTCTTGTTAATGATGCTTTTTTTCCCTCCTTCTTGTCGGTTTCTCCTAGATCTACACTCCAATAGGAAAGGTGAGCTGCAGTTCAGCATCATTTAACCTCAAACTTTTGCACTCTGCAGTTATTAGAGTGATTCATTTAGTCTTACATTTTCCATAGCTTACTATGCTAAGGATGTTTTATCCTTTCCTTGTATGTACAGAGGATGAATATGATTATACCACATCTGAAAGAGGCCGTAATTATGAATATGAGGAAAAGGTAAGCTGATGATCATCTTAGTTTTTACTTCATATATACCTAATCTAAATGTATTAGTCATTAAATAATTTTTGCTTGGGTCCAGTAAGTGAAAATGTTATCAAAACTTAATCGAAACCTATCATGCACACCATAATTTATATGAAGTTTTTATCTTTATGAACTTTGAAGATTCTGGCCTTCAGATATATTATAGTTTAAAGACAAAAAATACTGGAACACTGGTGCACAGCTCCACTCACCTTCTGTACTCGATAGCCTCCACTTAGACTTTGTTTCACCATTCTCTCACTGCTTCTTCAATACCTTCGTGACTACATTCTAAACTAAATTTTTTCCACTAAATATTCCATTATTATGCTTGGATAAAGCCTGTGCTGTGGTAGAGTTGTTAGAGGTATCCCCTTGAAGCGAAAACTTTGTGGGTTTAGATCTTTGCAATTATTGGCTCCAACTACTACTTGCTTTCTTTGGGTCTTATATAGTGTTTACAGAGTAGCGCATCATAAAGTCTACATCAAATGTTTATTTTTAGTAGTTTTAGATGCTGATTCTTAAGGTGAGGGGAGGAGATATAGTATAATTTTTAGAAAAAATGGGAGTTGATTATTATCAGTGTAACTAAATGGGATAAAATTTTCTTTGAAATTTAAATCTAAGCCACAAATATATATATATAGATATATCACCATGATTAATGAATCTACATATTTAAGAATTTCACTTTTTGAACCGCAATACTGATTTAAAACAAAAAAAATTTATATTCTAAATGTACTTAGATTGACCTGTATAGTTTCTTACTGTTAAATATTCTCTGTTTCTACAGATTAACACCTCTGCTGAGCTCAAACAGGTGGTGAAACCAAATGAGATTGCAAGAGATGAACTGGTAAGAACTTATGTATAAAGAAAAAATTGTTTAGTTCTTTGATTGTGAAATATTTAAATGCAAATACAAAGTGTGTATTTGATAATAATGCTACATTATATCTGTATAGCACCTTTAAAAGCAAAGATACATTGTGCTTATAATTACATCACACTCTGTAGTGAAATTTCTAGGTTGCTTCACATTCATTTTCTGCTTCCTTTAAAAGCAGCCCGATGTCCTGGATACGTTTAACCGTGGTGCCATGGTTGGCTTGCTGGTGGTTGCTGTAGCAATTGCCATGGTGATGGTGATCAGCCTGCTGTTGGTGCGCAGGAAGCCATACGGCACTATTAGTCATGGCATTGTGGAGGTAATACCTAACCCTGACCTTTAATTTAAGCTAATGTTTAAATTGTCTTTGGTTTTTTTTTTGTTTGTTTTTTACATTATAGTTTAGTAGTTAAAGAGTCAAAATCTTGCTTGCAGTAGATCATTCTCCTTTGATTTAGCTTGAATGCAAAATCTAAAAGTTAATCTAACAGCAAGTCAGTGAAGCTATAAGATAATGTTGAAATTTCCCATTTTCTGTTGTTTCACCAAATCAGCTTTGTATCGAATACAATTGGTAATGGATAACAGGCAAACATACTTCAGTGTTAAAAACCACAAGCAATAACGTAAAAGAAATGCATAATAAGAAAATAAAATGCTTGAGATAGAGATCCAGAGAAACCTCTTTATTGTTTCTTGTAACTAAGATTGCTCTGACTATTATCTGCTCCATAACAACTCAGAAAATCTTAAGAAAAAGTAGTTTTCAACAAAACTACTTGTGCAACCAAAAGGGAAAGCCCTATAGAACAAATGCAGTTGAGGCTTTTAAGAATAATATTTAGATTGACTGTTAAAAGTGACTGGATCACTTCATTGATCTACAACGTTGTATTTCTAAGACTCTAAAATAAGTTATAAAACAACCATTGCTATATCGTTAACAGTTGCTCTTAGCTACTCAACAAAATGTGGGAGGCAAGAGAACCTGCTCTTTGAGTAACGGTGCTGATTTTTATTAGTCAGGATCTGGAAACAAGTCAGAACAATGAAAAAACTGTGACTGTGATAAACAACAAAACAGTATCTGAAAACGTAGTAACTTTGGCCATTTTATATGTAAACAAATATGAGGTTATTTAACAATAAAAACTTTGACTCATAATAAAAGTCTACAATTAATAACATTAAAAAACTGGGTCATTAACACTGCTGTCTTTATAAAATTCCTTTAAATCCCTTCAGCAGATTTATTTAGCAAACATACATTATATTGATCAGTGGGATTATATTTGTTCATACATGTGATCGAACATTAACATATCTAAGCTAACCAATTATTAAAGATTTTGTACAAAAGGAATTGTTTTATTGTGTCTTAAAACCTTCATTAAGGAGAAAGTTCTGCGCTGTGCCTTTAAATAAATTAACATGATTGCTATACCACTCACTATGATTACAAATTTTACAAAATCGTTGAAAAATATATATATAAAAAAAAAAAAAAAAAAAAAAAAAAAAAAAGAGAAAAATATATATATATAACCAAGAAAGGAAATCCGCTAGCTTTGTTATAATTTTATCAGAAACTGGTTTTACACTGTAAAATTATTATTTTAATGCCAGTATAATGGAGACAAATGAAATAATCTACAAGTAATTGTCAGGTTCTTAATACATTGGCTTCATTTTATTTAAATTACTTAAACTATTGCATTACAGGTAGACATTTTCTGACATTATTGAAACCAAAAAAATCCCCATAGCTCCCTGTAAGAGTGCTGCAAAGAATAGCGAATATATAGGTTTAACATTACCACCTGTGTTTATAGTTGGGTTTATAAAGCTATACAGGTGCTGGTCATAAAATTAGAATATCATGAAAAAGTTGATTGATTTCAGTAATTCCATTTAAAAAGTGAAACTTGTATATTATATTCATACATTACATACAAACTCATATATTTCAGATGTTTATTTTGTTTAATTTTGATGATTACAAATGACAACAAATGAAAATCTCAAATTCATCATATCAGAAAATTAGAATATTGTGAAAAGGTTCAAAATTGATGGCCCCTGGTGCCACACTCTAATCAGCTAATTAACTCAAACCACCTGCAAAAGCCTTTAAATGGTCTTTCAGTCTAGTTCTATAGGCTACACAATCATGGGGAAGACTGCTGACTTGACAGTTGTCCAAAAGACGACCATCGACACCTTGCACAAGGAGGGCAAGACACAAAAGGTCATCGCTAAAGAGGCTGGCTGTTCACAGAGCTCAGTGTCCAAGCACATTAATAGAGAGGCGAAGGGAAGGAAAAGATGTGGTCGAAAAAAGTGTACAAGCAAGAGAGATAACCGCACCCTGGAGAGGATTGTGAAACAAAACCCATTCAAAAATGTGGGGGAGATTCACAAAGAGTGGACTGCAGCTGGAGTGAGTGCTTCAAGAACCACCACACACAGACGTATGAAAGACATGGGTTTCTGCTGTCGCATTCCTTGTGTCAAGCCACTCTTGAACCACAGACAGCGTCAGAAGCGTCTTGCCTGGGCTAAAGAGAAACAGGACTGGACTGCTGGTGAGTGGTCCAAAGTCATGTTCTCTGATGAAAGTAAATTTTGCATTTCCTTTGGAAATCAAGGTCCCAGAGTCTGGAGGAAAAGAAGAGAGGCACTTCATCCACGTTGCTTGAAGTCCAGTGTAAAGTTTCCACAGTCAGTGATGGTTTGGGGTGCCATGTCATCTGCTGGTGTTGGTCCATTGTGTTTTCTGAGGTCCAGGGTCAACGCAGCCACATACCAGGAAGTTTTAGAGCACTTCATGCTTCCTGCAGCTGACCAACTTTTTGGAGATGCAGATTTCATTTTCCAACAGGACTTGGCACCTGCACACAGTGCCAAAGCTACCAGTACCTGGTTGAAGGACCATGGTATCCCTGTTCTTAATTGGCCAGCAAACTCTCCTGACCTTAACCCCATAGAAAATCTATGGGGTATTGTGAAGAAGAAGATGCAATACACCAGACCCAACAATTCAGAAGAGCTAAAAGCCACTATTAGAGCAACCTGGGCTATCATAACACCTGAGCAGTGCCACAGACTGATCGACTCCATGCCACGCCGCATTGCTGCAGTAATACAGGCCAAAGGAGGCCCAACTAAATACTGAGTGCTGTACATGCTCATACTTTTCATGTTCATACTTTTCAGTTGGCCAACATTTCTATAAATCCTTTGTTTTTATTGGTCTTCAGTAATATTCTAATTTTCTGATATGATGAATTTGAGATTTTCATTTGTTGTCATTTGTAATCATCAAAATTAAACAAAATAAACATCTGAAATATATGAGTTTGTATGTAATGTATGAATATAATATACAAGTTTCACTTTTTAAATGGAATTACTGAAATCAATCTACTTTTTCATGATATTCTAATTTTATGACCAGCACCTGTATGTTACTGGTGTCATTCAAAGGCACCTTGAGGTTTTTTAAATTCTTAATTTTCTCTCTTTGTGAGCTTCAGCTGTGTCATTTTCTGCCATATTGTAACTCCAGCTTTTTATGGGGGGGTTTCAGCAGGTCGACCCTATGTTGACACCCGAAGAAAGGCAGCTCAACAAAATGCAAAACCACGGCTACGAGAACCCCACCTACAAGTTCTTTGAGCAGATGAACTGAAGCTCTGAATGCTACCAGCAAGTCATGCCTCACCACATGTTTTGTCCCCCCCCCCCACACTTGTCCATACAATGATGTCCCAGCTGCACTTCCTGTGACAGTTTGATGATGTGTTGCAGATTTTATTTAACTGGTGAAACTAGGGTGCTTCCCCAAAACCAGTTAATTGCATCATAAAGTGATTAATGAGATACGATACAACCCTGTGTTAATTATTGTAGTCAAATATTCCTTAACGTGAAGCAGAGCTACAGACCATCCACCTCATTCCTGTGGCATGACGACCTACTGCTCCTCACTAGAAACTGAATTTTGAATGGTACATAATGCTTTATTATTACTATTTATTTTTCATTCGTAGTTTCTTTGTTGAGATTGTACCACAGTAACAGTTCTCTGTGTAGATGAGTGTGAATGGCAGCCTAGTTTATAATCGAGCTGAAAAACTTACCTCTACGAGTCACTGACAGCTGTAGGTAAAGTAGTGAAGGTTTTGAATGTATGAGACAAACAGGCTTCAATTCAAAAACAAATTAGTACAGAAACGCTGTTTCAGCTGGTGGCACAAAAAATCTTTAGACATTTAGCAAAATATACCCTAAATATCAATTAAGCTGTATATTTGTTTTATTGTTTGGCTTTCAAAAACAGCTGTTCTACGAAAAAATTTGAAGTCTTTTATTTTACTGAAAGCATGACAACTTTGGTGTATGATGCTGCAGTATTTCTTTGTGTTGTTCTTGTCATTGCTTTTGAAGAGTCCAGAATGTTCCTAAAGGACACTGTAAATACCGTAGGACGTATCCGCTACTAGATGTAGACATTTCTATTATTAATTTACATCGGTGTAATGGAAAAAATGCATAAAAAAAAAGATTAAGAAACAATAAACACATTGTGCTGTTTTGAGAAGGAGAAACATTTTCCTAACATGGCTGATTGAAAACGGACTGTTGTAAAAACCAGCACAAGACAACGACACAGCAACTACTTTCTGAATGTATTCGAGGTAGACGTTGATTCCTCCCTCTTTTTCTTTTGATGCCTGTAGTAAACGTGGGTAGGAGTAGTGCACCGACACATTTAAGGGACTACCCCCCCCCCCTTCCCCGTGCCCTCATCATCACTTGGTGTAGCAGCCTTTTTATTTTCACATATTAGCAGGGGGATTATTTAAAATAAATCCTGCACAGGGCAGATCAGTGTGTAAAAGGGCACAGCTATGGGTATTGGGTCACCATATGAAGTAACTTCTTGACACTCTGGCATGACAGTCATATTCTCTTTTTTTATATGCCAATTTGACCTAACTAAACTCAAAAACACTGAATTATATAGTCTCTAGGAGCTTTATTTAGGTCTCCTCATACAAAAAGCTTTTGATTGAATGACTCATTGTAGTTTTCATATTTATGACCAACTTGGTACCCCAAACAGGCAAGGGATTGCCCCTTTTAATTCTGACTAACTGTTTACAGCTTAGTGTGTCGGTTAAATTTCCTTTAGCCTCTGAAGTCGATGATTGGTCACCTTGTTTAGAAAAGGTCACACTGTGCAGTTGAGTGGTCTTTTACTGTATGTTTCTGCACAAATGATTTTATATGTTTTGGTCTGCTGGTTATTTTACATAAAGCTCATCTAGAAAGTGTGTGGGGTGGGGGTCCTTTTTCTTTTTTTTATGTGTTTTCTTGAAAAAAAAAAAGAAAAGGAGGTTTGCCATGTTTTTGTTTGTCTTGTCAGGTGGGTTAAAAGGCGGGTTGTGGTCTTGTTATGACGGGAAAAGAAAAGTCACAGCCCCATGTATAAAGTGTACAGCTCCGTTAGTGAATGAAAACATTGTATGTTCACAGTTTAAGTCATTCGATCTCGTAATGATACTACTGAAACCATAAATGAGAATAAGCTTGCCTGTGTTTCCCAAACCACCGAAGGTTTCCTACCAGCATTTAGCAAAACTCAACATGGTATATACTCTAGTTACTCAAGTCACATTTGTACTTAAACATCCTGATTCCGATTCTAGGCTTCTTCTTCGTTGGTCCATCCCCTTACTCCCTAAATAAAATATAAACTATGTTATTAAGGTTTTAATGGCTGCATTATTGCCTTTTACAATGCTGTGTTTTGGATGTAACTATTCTGTATTTTTTATTTATTATGTAACAGTCAGTTGAATGGAGGGTCATGCATTTCACATGTAATTAGAAGCAAGTATGAGAAAAATCTATGTTGCAGAGGAAATGTGAATCCTAATTGACATGAAGCGTCACTAAGCACAACTAAATTGTCCATTTTTGTAAAGTCTGCAAGATTTAAAACTGGTTAAACAATGTAAATTTATTAGGATATTGTTGCTACCATTGAAAGAGCTGTTCTTTATTTTCATTAAGTCCTTTAACCAAAGACATGCTCCGTGACTTCTTGAAACATATTAGTTTATTTGGCAAAGTATTTCTGTGTAGCTGTACTGTAAGCAATCTGGCAAATAAAATCTTATTGAGTTGATTAAACGTGTAATAAAGTTGAATGACCCCTTAAGTGTCATCGGTGTCTCTGTTTTAGTATAGGTGCATCGTTACTGCATAAAACACTGCTATTCAAAAGTTAATTTATTTCATTTAATTTGTAAACTCAATATTACATTGTTGCATAAAGTGTTTTATCTAAAGGCATCACTTTTATTTCTTTTGAATAGTATCGCTCAAATGTATTGGAATCCATTGATGTTAAGAAACATATTTTTTTAGTTTCCATTAAACTTTTTATAAATATGCTTGGATACAACACTTTTCACATGGCCAGTCTTTTGGAATAATATGTTGTGGCTCACTATCTTTGCAAAGCATGTTACTGACTGTCCATTAAGGATATTTATAACCCTAATCAAACTTCATATGGGGCTTAGATCGGAGGTTAATGATGACCGCACTAAAACATTTATTTGGTCATCCTTAATCCACTACAAAAGTAACTTAGAAGAATGAATAAACATGAATTCCTAATGGTAGGCCCATGCTATAAAATTTTCACTTTTTTTTTTCTCATGATGGCTTCTATTTGATAAGTCTTCCTGAAACAAACACCCACATAGCAAGTTGCTGACACTTCTATACTTCCCGATACAGATGGTGTACTCTGGCTTCAAGCTTCCTTCTTTTTCACCTTAAATATTAAAAATGGCATTGCAGCTTAAACACATAATATTAAGTTCTCTTAAATCCCAGGTCATTAGAATAATTTTGTTTTTTTTCCGACTTTTGTATTGCATTTGGAATAATGGCCTCTTCCTTACTTATTGGTCTCTGAGCCCAGCTTGTTTCACTGTAGAAAATGACTCTTCCTTACCACAATCAGCCAGAATGTTTAGCAACTTTTGTGCTTTTATGCTGAGGTTGAAGGGACCAATTTACTCCTAGGATTTGCTCAGCATATGTTGAGGTGAATGCCTTCACCTTTCGGCATCTACACATGTATCCAGTGATGAACCAGATTATTAAAGCTCTCAAATTCACTTCTCTAATATCTTGCCCGATTTCTTTATGATTTTTGTTTTATTGGTGTCACACCAAGAAACGGTGTGTTTGAGGTGTTTCTGAAAAATGTTGCTCCAGTAAACTTGCATGTTTTAAATTACAGGTAGAGGATGTTTTTTTCCGGGTGGATCATCCAACTAACTGGTCCTCCTAATTGTCAATCATTCTGGTAAAATGTTTGAGTAAAACCATCCTACATGCTCGTCCCCCATTTTCATTTTGACTTACTGGTGCTGATTCTGACATAGTGGAAAATTTGCAAATCTTTTTTTGGAAAATAAGCTTATATGAGCGATGCAAACAGCAGCTTTTAAACAGAGCGTGCACAAGGAGAAATTGGCTCATGCATGCTCTTGCACGTGTTTCATAGGCGTTTCCTCTGGGGAGCAGTTATAGGGTTGTGCATGTGCATTTTTTTTCAAGCTGGGAGGGCGCGTCTTTTCAAAAATTCACAAAAAATCCTCCACTATACCTTTAAGCATAAAATGTAATCACCTCACGATATGCGCTTACCCATATTGTTCAAAAGTATATCAATCTCTGTTTAAAGTTTTCAATAAAGTAATGAACTTATGTTTAATATGTACAATTTTATGGCTTTTAAACAATGTGGATAATTGTGGTAATTCTAGCTGGCCTCAAAGGAAAGGTTTTGTGTATGTAATGTCAGACATTGAGGGGAAAAAAAGGTGTGTCCTTTTATAGTGTATGTAAATTTTTGGTTTCAACTGTACAAGGGGGGAAAATCTTCAGGCATACATGTACAGGAACATCAGCTCTTCTTCCACTTCAAGTGTGAGTTATATTTCTTGGGAAAAGGAAACCTAAAGGACATATAAAGCAGGTACCTCTTATCTTTTACACCATCCATTGATGTAAGCACTGGGTGCACAGGTATTACAAGGAATCTGAACAAGTTGTTGCATACATAAGTGCATCTATTTCTGCTTATTTCTGTATGTTTGTCAGATGTTGACGTAAAGAACACATTTGGTAGTAAAACTTTTTCTAGATTAAAATCATGACCAAGATTGAGATAAGGTATTTCTCAGTTTTCAGCATGGAGTTTCAGTGACTCCTTAAGTCAGTTCTGTGAAGCCAAAATTGCATCTCACTTCCTTTGTCAGGAAAAGCTACATCAGATGATATCACTCTGTTACCTTGTTTAAAAGGCCAGAAAAGCAAAAAATAACAAAACAAAAAAAATATCATTCCTTGGTTGAAGAAAGGTTAAAGGAACTTCAGCTTATTTTAAAATGAATTAGTCGGTTGGTCTAAACTCAACTAAACTCATATAACTAAAGTATTAAAACATTTTCATGTACAATTCTAAATCTAACAATGATATGATACCTTCATATACAGTTTTATAAGGTCCTGTCAGTCAGTCGAATTTTACAATGCAGCCGGGTTTTAGGTATAATAATCAAAACCCAAAAGTAACCCAAAAAAACTACGATAGGCAGTGTCTAAAGCTATTTCATGCTAAAGTCTATTCTGAAATACAGATAATCGTAGTTGCATTTATTTATGTTTAATAATTTATATTATAGTTATTTATATTTTATAGTGATGAAAGCAACCATTAAATATGGGCTGATTTAAATTTTGTCTAAAAGTTCCGTAAAATGTTCAAGTATCAAGAGTCTTAAATGAAAAAGATTTAACAAGATCATAATGAAGTTTGTTCAGACATCAGAAGGCATAAATAAAACCCAATCAATAAAATCAAAACACAATCACAATTTTCAACTTCAGTTATTTTTTTCCTTTAAAAAACATATCTCAGAAAAAGTTAAATAAATAAAAATAGAAATATAAAAAATAGAAAATAAATAAATGATCATTCAAATGATATGAAGATCATGTTAGAAATAAGAGATCTCTATTAAAACTGAAATACTACGAAATGCTAATTCATGTCTCAGTTTTACGTTGAAACATGACATGTTGTGACCCAAAACACAATTTACATCACAGAGATTAGCATAATTTTTCAGTGTATTAAACTTTTGTTATGAAGCATAGTTGTTTTACTCTGAGGCCCTAATACATGAAATGAGAATTGCAAGAAAAGGACCAAAAGACAATCAATATTCAGTCCTGGCACAATACACACATTAAAAAAAAACATTTAAATGATTAGCAACTACTCAACATAATTAACCAATTATATATGCAATACACTAAATATACTATAGTTGAGGTGACTGATTGTTATCACCTTTTTGCTGTGAAAAGAAAAGATGCTTTTTCTTATTAGTTCTTATAGTTTTGTATTAGGTTGACATCAATGCTAATAAATGTGCTGAATGGGTAGATGATATCGCATTATATTGACTGCAAACTTGTGAATTGAATTGAATGGGAATTGATCATGACAGACTAATGATATCTGACATCTTTGTGTCATCATGTAACAAATGTTTTTAACATCGTATTATGATAAAGCTGGTTATTTACCTCCTAGGCTATAATAATAAAAGATCAATATAGGAAAGAAAAGGTTAACCTTATTATTTTGTTTTTTAACAACAAATAAGCTGGTTGGTTGTCACTAAACAACAAAAATCTAAGACTATAAACAAATAATATTTATCTATTGTGATAAAAGTTTACAGTTATATCATATGCAGTATGGACATGAAAATTGAAAAATTTTTACTGCATTTGAAAATTATTTGTGCTTTGAGGGTTGAAAAAAAACATGCAGCCCTATTTATAGTACTAATATTACCTTTAGTGCTTTCAATATGAACACCATTTTTATACAGGTTATAAAATCATGGTCTAATATATAAGATCTCTTGGTTTTGCTATATAGTAGATATATGAAAACATCACCCTACACACTATAAGGCAGATTTTTTTAAATATATATTTAGGAAATTATAACACTTTCATCACACCCAAATATATATATATATATATATATATATATATATATATATATATATATATATATATATATATATATATATATATATATTCTGAGTCTCACTTTATGCAATAAAATGTATGTTAGAAATGTATGTCCTTCAGGTGGCGCAGCGGTTAGCGCGCACAACTCATGTACGGAGGCCTCAGTCCTCGAGGCGGCTGACCCGGGTTGGTCCTTTGCCGCATGTCTCTCCCCCTCTCTAATACCTTCGACAGGCTACTGTCGAAAAAAGGAGCCACTAGTGCCAACATAGTGTGTCTAATGTCTTATGACCATTTACACACTATGCTGGCACGGTTCCCCGCCTCCTAGTGACGATCTACAGTACTACTACTCTCTCGAGGTAAACAACACGCCGATAACATTCAGGAAGTTTGCGGACAGTCAGGTGAAGAAAACACCCATTTACTTGACAGAGTCTGCTTTAGGGAAGTGGATACAACAAACGGTAGTCTAATCAGGGCTTACAGATGCAGGAAACAACAACACGAGCTGAGGTTCATCTCAATGCTATAGAATCATCACTGCAAATCGTGTGGCACAGTAGGGAAGCTAGTATTTTTATGAATCTCTGAAATTTCATGATTACGGATTAAGGAGATGATGCAGTCTGCTCATGCGCTCTTTGTTATCTGAGGATCAAGCCTGAACTGAACCCCACAGAGACCTACTGTTCGGTTGTGTCTTCAGTTCAGTTGTGCCATTTACACTCAGCAGTTATCTCGGTTACCGTACTCAGACCGATCTTGGCATGGTTTCAAAAGGGTGGTGTAAATGGGGCTATAAAAAGACTCCAACAACTCAGGAGAACGATGGGTGGGTCACTGATTTGCATCTGAAAGAACTGACAAAGACTCCTGGATCGGTGTAGCAAACATTTTCAGAAAAAATGAAAGTCCAGTTGCCTCTGATTTCAGCATGTTTGGAGGTTGCTATGACCTGGATGACTGAGAATTTGTACAGGCACCTGGTAAAAAGTGAACTGCTCTCGTTGGGGGACAGTCCCTGCTTTAAGCAGAGGAGTCCAAATATCTTGTTGCTTTAATTATAGGTGCAAATGGTAT